TTTTATCCGCTCATTGTTTCTTACTGGCCGAGGGATGTGACTCAAGATTGTTTACCCAGCTGCAGCCTCCTGCTATGTGACTACCAACCACAGTTTCTCTTGGGTATATATCTAGGAGTGGAATTGCCCAGTTAAATGGTAACATCCTGTTTAACTTTTTGAAGAACTGCCAAGCTGTTTTCCAAAATGGCTGCACTATCTTACATTACCACCAGTGCTGTATGAAGATTCTGATTTTTCCACACACCTTTACCAATGCTTGTTATTTTGACTATAGCCATCTTAGTGGGTATCAAGTGGTATCTCATTATAGTATTGATTTGCATTTCCCTGATGACTACTTGTGCTTTTAAAATACTTTTGTCTGTCTGGAAATTACTTCTGTCTTTTCCAGTTCAGTTTGTTTACTTTGTTATCTTTTTTGTTTTGTAATCATTATTTACATCTTGATTTTATTCCCTGTGAATGCATATTACCTTAGTAGTACCAGCTGCCTGTGCTGGCAGTATACACCTGGAGGGAGGGGCAGAAGTCTGGCTCCTCGCTTGTCACCTTGGCAGCTTTTGTAAAATGGGGGGGCTCTGGGCTCAGCCACTTCCTATTCTCATCTTTTCCACAATTAGGGCCCCTGTGTTCCTTTTTTTTTTTTTTTAGATTTTTTTTNTGAGTTGAATACAGCTCTTCACAGACAGATGGGTCTCCACATAGACCTTACTCACTTCACTATGGGTTCTAATCTTCTCTGTGATTAGAAATTCATTCAAACCTCTCAACTGAGATGAGAAAAGAGGTGGGCAGTGGAATGAGTAGTGAGCAGTCCTTCAGCAAAATCGCTGTCCAGTCCTTCCTGGAGAGGCCTCCGACACATATATTGGCACTCTACAAACTGAAAGATGCTGCTGTTCTCCTTCCACCGAATGGTTTGTAAGAATAAAAGAGCATCCAAACTGATACTCTTGGTGAGAGAGAATCTGTCTGTCCTAATTTAAAGGATGAGCACATGTGATTGCTATTAAAGATTCATGCAGTGCCTTAGAGGCACTATCCTGTTTTGGAATGATGAGAAATTATGGGATGATTATATTTCCCAGACTTGATGAGTTGTCATTGAAGCCAATAGGGCTTCTAGGGCACTGAGATTCCATTATCTCTCTCTGACTTTGATTACAGTTAAAATAAACTAAATGTTTGTGTCTACCCATCGCTTAACCTGTTCTACTGTTAGCATCTCCCACAAGGGGCTTGGCCTGGGATTAGAGGTCTCATTCTCCCCATGCCTGTGAAGTTGGTTTGGAGTTGGAGTGGCTGAGCAGGCTGCCTTTAGGTTGCTCCACTGGATGGAGCTGCGCGGTGATGGAAGAAGGAGCTGTGGACAGACCTGTATTGTCTGAAGACTAGGCTTTTTGGTGTGTGTGTAGAGGTGTTGGAGATGGACTATAATCAGCTTTTCTGGATCTGGCAGGAGCATTTCCAAAAGTATTAGATGTCCTCAAATAAAACTCTTTCCTTGTAACAACCAATGACCAAAGCGTCACTCTAATCAGTTTGCTTTCAGTCTCTCTTTGAGAGCAGTGGTTCTTAACTTTTGGAGACATGGATCCCTTTGAGAATCCAAAGAAAAGTAAATACTCTCTAGAAAACTGCACATTTAAAATTTTGTGAGCAACTTCTGCTCTAGAGGCTGTACTTAGAGCCAACTTGAATCCCTTTGTTAAAGGGACTGTGTCACGCCCCTGCGTGAAGATGGTATGCAAGTTGTTCTGCCCCTTGTCTCTATTTGCCAGGTTCAGGGCTCCTGGGAGCCAAGGCTGCCATGCCGCTTTGTCCTCCCTAGCACTTGGCCCAGCTCAGACAATTACTGCTGCCAAGTTCCCCACAGGTTTGGCCTGCCTCTGGACTCCTTATTAGCTTCTCCCCTTCCAGAAAGCTAAACTAGCACTTCCCAGCTTTGCCCTTCAAGGACCCAGCAGAGAGGGTGGGATCAACTGTCACCTGACATGCAGTCATATCCTTTAAGGTTTATTAAAATTAAAAGTATGTTACATTCTACTCGTTAAGTATATCTGTTTTAATGTTAAAATAATGGATTTTTTTAACCCCAAAGCTTTAGGTAGTATTGACACTCTAGGAAGATGGGCAGTTTGAGCCTCTGCTCAGACAAGCCCCCANAGGGGCTGTCCTGAGGGTATGTACCCTCCACCTCAGGAAGGCTCCAACACTGCTCTAATATCACCCCTCTAGTTAGTGCTTGCTAGCAAAGTGGTTTGGCAGAGATCCATCTAGAGCAGAGGAAGTGACCTAAACAGGAAGCTCTCTCATCCCCATCGTGATGCAGATCGTTTCTCTGCTTGAGGCTGCCCATTGCCACCTTACCTGTACCCAGCCACCTTTGATCTCCCTTGGGGTTTCTCAGCCTTTGTGTTCTGTCTTCCCTCTTACTTTTTGGCATCTCCCAGATTGGGTTTGGGGAAGGGACCCAGCAGCCCACCTAGCTCTCCATTTTGTGTAGACCCAGAAGAAGCTCATTTACCATTTTCCAAACTTATTTGACTTTGGGATGCTTTTTTCCCACCATTTTGTTATTCATCTAATGTAAGTATTTCATATGAGTCAATTGCTGCTCTATCTGGCGATATACTGCAGTGGATGAAGACAGATAAGGCCCCCCACCCTTATGGAACTGCCATCCGTGAACAGGGAGGTGACAGTATTAACTCCCTAAACAAACAGGATCACTTCTTACAGGGTGAATACTATGGTGGAGTGGAGCCGAGGGCAGTGGCACCACTTTGGATGGGGTAGTTAAGGACAGCCTTTGTGGAGGTAACACTTGAACAAACTCCTGATCCACAAAGAAGAGCCAGGCTGAGGAAGGTTCTGGGCAGAAGGCTCCAGTCCAGGACCTAAGGCAGGAGTTAGTTTGGTGTATGGGGCTGGAACATGGTGATGAATGAGGAAGGAGGTGGAGGGAGATGAGACCACAGAGGTAATGGGGCCAGATCCTGTCGGTCATTGGCGTGGAGTTTGAATTGTATTATGAACGTACAGTGGGAAGCCACATAGGAGTTTCCATTAAGGGAGGTGAATTTATTAGTTTTTAAAAGAAGAATCTGGTGCACGGGGAGAGAGGATGATTGGGGAAAATGGCAGGTAGCAGGGAGACTGATAGGAGGCTGTGGTTCAGACAGAAGTTGACGGTGGTTTAGACTTGGGAGAAAGCAGTGGTGGTGGATGGATTTGGGGTAGTATAAAACCGCTATAGAGTTCCCCAGGACTCATCTGGACACCTTAATCAGGTAGTATTTCATGGGCTAGTGGTTCAGTGACTGGTGTTTCAGTTATCTATTTCTGCATTGCAAACCATCCCAAAGCTTAGTGGCTTATACAATGACTATTTAATATTTCTTCTGATTCTGTGGGTTGATGGGGCTCAATGGGTGGTTCTTCTGTGGCTGCATTCAGCTGGGAGCAGGGTCAGGATTGGAATGAACAGGATGGTCTCTCTTCCTCCAGAGCCTGTCTCCACATGGCCTCTAGTCATTCAGTGGTCCAGCCTGGACACCATGGCAGCTGGACTCAAAGAGGGAAAAAGTCAAAGCTTCCAGTCTTGTTAAGGCGTGGGCTCAAAAGTCCCAGAATGTTACGTCTGACAATCCTGACTGGTGAAAGCCTGTCACAGGCCCACCCAGATTCAAGGGAAGGGGAAATTGACTCTGCCTTTTGATATGAGGAGCCACATGTACCCAGAGGCAGGGGAAGAATATTGGGGACATATTTGGAAACTATATACCACAGCTTTCAATTTCACTTTGAAACTTAAAAGTCCTGGAAGAATTTCAAAGTTGGCCTTTGAAAGTTTTGGTGTCCAGTTTGGGACAATAATATAGAGAACAAATTATAAAAGAAGGAATTCTTGTTCTTCTTCCAACGAAGTTATTTTCTAGGCTAAGAGCAAACTGATTCTACAAAAACAACTCAAGTTTCTAAACTTTATCTAACACTTGGCAAACCACTTTATAAATGTGCCTTTTAATCTTCCATCACATGTTCTGTTACTACATGACTGAGGGCCTTGGAACAACACTCACTGAAGAACAGATCTTCAGTCGGGTTCCCAGGGCGAAACCCACCAGTTCAGTTAGAACACCTGCCTAAGGTGCAAAGACCACATCTTCACTGACCCTCTGGTAGAGCCTCTCTACTACTATGATTTCTTTTAGAATGATAATTTACATCAGTCCTACTTTTTTCATATTTACTCATTGCAGTGGAGACAGTACAATAAACCCATATACAGGTACAGTAAAAATTGGCCCCCATGGCTGTTTGGATAACAAACTACTCATAAAACATGACCCATGTGTATGTTACCTACACGTCACTAATGCTGTTTAATATTTGATGAACACACTGACAGTGTAATATAGACAAAATGAAACCTAGGGAAGCTGTAAATCCAGTGCTCAATCCTGCATTTCAGTCACTTAAATCATTTAAAAAAATTTTTAACTACTTTGATTTTAAACTATTATGACCAGGATTAGTTTTGCATATTTAATTTTATGCAAAAGTACCTATGAATTTTTTGTTGAAACTCAAGCTTTTCTTTCTTTCTTTTTTTTTAAGGAAATTTTATTGGGGAACAATGTGTTTTTCCAGGAACCATCAGCTCCCAGTCAAGTAGTTGTTTCAATCTAATTGTGGAGGGCATTTTTCCAGGACCCATCAGTTCCAAGTCAAGTAGTTGTCTTCAGTCTAGCTGTGGAGGGCGCAGCTCCATGGCCCGTGTGGGAATCGAACTGGCAACCTTGGTGTTGTGAGCCTGTGCTCTAACCACCTGAGCTAACCAGCCCCCCAAACTCGAGGTTTTCAAATATATAATGTAAAAAGACCTACTTTGTGACATAAAAATGTCATAAATACTAATTCTCTGTGGAAATTAAACCAGTCAATCCTTTTAGTAATTTTATTTTTAAATAACCAGTGTTTTTTTCTCATAGACTGCCTTGCCATCCAGGAAAGGATTTCGGCACCAAAGCACCAAGTTTTTGTATCGTTTGGTGGGATCGGAAGATTTGGCTGTGGACCAGAGTATTGTCAGCCCTTACACGTCTCGCATCTTGAAACCGTACATCAGGTATGTGGAGAAGGGCCATGAGGCTGAGCGTGGCATGGGAAGTAATGTTTGCGGTTTCTGTCCCCCTCCCTCTGTGGGTG